CAGGGAAGGGATAGCTTGTTAATTGAGCCTTCAGAGGACAGTTGGCTTGAGGAGATGCCAACCATGGACAAGAACATTTACTTTGAATCCCAGGGGCATCTTCTAAGCATGCAGTGTTTCCTAGTGCCGAGCGCTTACAGATGTGCCAGAGAAAGGAAAGGGGGAAATGTAGCTGATAGTTCTGATCATCCTTACTGGTGTGTCTTTCGAGAAAGTAAAGTATTATGGTCTTGCACGCTGTATTGTCTCAGCATTATACAGATCTTACTAACAACTTACTTCACAGCATCAATCCTCCAGAACCCAGGCAAGAAACAGAAAGGAAAATGAAGAGGTTTTATGCAATCGGAAGAGATATCACGGAGTCTCTGTACCATACTAGAGTTCATATGCATTAGAAGTAGATTCCTTGCAGCACTACTCACAGTCTTTTTACTCATGTTCTTCGACAGTTTTAACCAATGTGGTTATTTCATTCCCTGGCTCCTAACATGTGAACCAGAGCGATGGAGGAATAGAAAGTAACAGCTGGTTTGCAGAAACACATTAACAGCAGCAAGAAATGACAGCTAACAGAGAAGGGATGTTGTGGAAAGATTAGCAAAAAAAAAAAAAGTATTCCAAAGTAAGGGTTAGCAGAACAATTTGTACCCACTTGGCCCATTTTCTGTAGGGACACACGGCTGTCCATTGGAGGCAGCGCTGCACACAGCACATGAAAACGACAGATGTTATTTTAAGTACAATCCTGAGATCTCAAGAAAGGATGTAGCTATTTCCAGGTTCAGGGGTTAGGAAGGTAAATCATCTTTTTGAAAAGGTTTCCCTCCTAAAGGGCTAGAAACTTGAGAGATTTTTTAAAAAGTCAGGCACTAAAAATGTTGAATCTTTACCAGGCAAGATGATGCACACCTGTAATCCCCTAGCACTCTGGGAGGCGGAGGCAGGAGTATTACAAGTTCAGCACAGCCTGGGCCAATGTAATGTAGCAACATAGCCAGACCCTGTCCCAAAATTTAAAAGTAAAAGTGGCTGGGGATATAGCTTGGTGCAAAGACTCTAGGTTCAAACCTTAGTACCACTGCCCCCAAAGTGCTAAACCTCAGATATCCAGAAAAATCAGTACAATGTGGTCTGATGAAGGGCTCATTATTGTCGGAGTACATTTTGATATCATCCTGGAATGTACATGGAATAGGTAAATATGGATGTGATTTACACAGCTCAAGCTAAAATCTGAAGGAACAAAATCTGCAGTTAAGTAATCGTATGTTAACTTCTGAGTTGTCCCAGGCTAACTTAGAGCAAAACAGTTTGCATTCTTCCATAGATTTACAGGAAGAGCCAGTGCTAGGA